GGCCGTTCCCGGGTCCTGACGTGCCAAGGCCACAGGTAGCCAGAGCTCCGAGGAGGGGAGGGGGGAAATGGGGCAAAGGGCAGCGCCTGGGAACGTTGCTTTTTAGGACGACGACGACGACTCTCCGTATCTCGTGGCTTAAAGGGAGGCTCAGGAAGGAGCGCTCCCGAGTTGTGGTCGGAGGAGCACCGGCTCCGCCCGGGAAAGGAGCGAGGGTGTGTGTGTGTCCCCCCGCTTCCCCAACGCCCCTCCTCTGAAGTAACTGTGACACCCTCTATGGGGGCTCCTCCACGGATCGGGGTCTTCCAGCGCCGCCCTGCGTACACGGGTTTCTAACTGGGCTCCAAGACATGGGTGGGGAATGTGCCGGACGCTGGCTGTGTTGGGACTGCAACTCCCATCAAGACTTGTCTTTAGCCGCTGGGGAGGAATGATGGGAGTTGCAATCCAAGGAGGTCTGGTTGAGCTGGAGCCATCTAGCAGCACCCCATTAGGCTAGACGCCCACTAGCCAGCGAGGCCCCGTCAGAGTTGGATGGGGCTTGTGGGGAGGGCTGCAGCCTTGGCCTCACCCCTCCCGCCCCGGTTTCTCTCTTTTCCCTTCCTTTAAAAAGGATGATAATAATAGTATGCTAACAGTTACTTGATATTTTTAATTTTTCTTTTTCCAGCCAAACAGGCTCTCGTTTAAAAGCACTTAAAACTGGGGCAGGGTGAGTGCGGGGAGGGCTTGCCGCTCAGAGGAGTTGGAAGCAAATTTATGGGGGGGAGGGGAGCAGGGAGGGGGGAACTCTGTGTACCTTGGGTGATGATGCACAAGAGGAAAATTCAGGGGTGGTTTGCACAACAAGTGACGGAGGGGTGAAACTCCCATCTGTACACTCTCACAGAGCCCGGCCCTCTTTTTCATGTGGTGACTCTGTTCAGCCTGTAGCCCAAATTTGGGCTACCCTGCCCACCTCTGGAACCAGGTGCTCCTCCCATGCCATTTCCCAGCAAGGAAGAAGTTAGTGGACTTTGGCTGGAGCTCTTGGCTCTGCCCCCATTTCCAGCCACCCAAAGTGTGCCTTAAAAAGCTGGTGGCCCATCTCCTGGCTACATGGAATAAAGAAAAAAAAAACATTGCATTCCATAGGGCTCGCAATGAAGTGCTTGGAGAATAGCAACCTAACAGGCTTGGAAGCTTTAAAAAACGGCCCGCAGAATGTAATAAATGTTCATTTTGCACTCAGAAGAAATCCAGTGTAATGTCAAGATGAGCAGACATAAACTATTGAGTTAAATTGAGTTCTTTCTTGGCAAAGATCAATTTGGAATTTGATTTATGCATCACCCCTTACCAATTTAGCAATGCTAATTCTCTAAAAAAGAGCTACCAGAGACAATTGGAAACAAAAAATTTAAATAAATAATTTGGCCTCCCCTAAAAAAAAGAAAAAAAAAGATGAGCAGACATGAGGAGGGCATTGCAGAGCTGACGTGGCACACACAAAGAAGCCCTAAACGGTGCCCACCATGTATTCTCGAAGGTGCCCACCATGCTTTCAGAGGCAGGGTAGCTGCCACAAGGCCTCTGAGGATGCTTTTAATGTCTGGGGAGGTTCATGCAACGGGGGCCAGTTTTTGAGGCGTTTAGGTCCTTGAGTTGCATAAATCATGTGGAAGCTTGAGCACTCCATTTAATGAAGATAGGCTATAAACACCCTAATGGAGAATGACCATGTATATTACCAGTTAAGAGCAAGTTAATATATAGCCTTCTAGATGTTATTGAATTATCACTTCTGTCATATCAGCCCACTGGCCATTCTTGACTAGGTGGTGGGAATTGGGAGCCCCACAAGTTCTGGAGAGCCAGAAGTTCTTCATTCTTGCAATGAGAACAGGGTTTGGAACTGGGACTCAAGCACCAGTGTAGTTGTTTAAAGCTGGCAAGACGTTCCATTCATTTGGTCCCACCTGGCAAACTAGCTGCTGTCTGTTTTGCTAGTTGCCATCTTTAAAGGTGAATTCTTTTGATCTGATTTGTTGCAGTTACCTTTGCTCTAGAAAAGGTAATCCCAGTATCTGGATAATCCCAGCCAAGCACCCTCTCGTGTCTTCAGTAGGGGCTGCAGTTGTTGCATTGGTCTTAGCTGGTTGAATGATATGTGGATTTGAAAGGATGAATCATTATAATGAGCAGAACCCCTGGTACCCTCAACTAAAAAGTATTTTTTTTTAACCAGACTGTAGTTCTGCCCAGAGGTGGTTTGTTGGGTACAACCTCCCCACATAAATGGGCAACTCACCAGCAGAATCTCCATCTTGTCTAAATTGAGCTTCAACTCAGTCTGGCTTCAGCTTGGTCCCTTTTGCCATCCTTTAATTGTCTCAGACGCTGATTCTGTCTTTCCGCTACAGCAGAACATGAATTTGATGGAAAGCAGAGGCAGAACTCTGCAGGCAGTTGATGTCTCACTCCAAAGCTCTGTATAGCCTCACTTCGCTGTTTCATGTAGATTATAGATCTTAAAGGGGCAAAAGAGACCCGCCCCGCTTACCAAGATGTAGCAGTCGTACCGAATCGAAGGGGTCCCACAGCAAGGCCCTCCACATTTTATTATTGTTTCTGTTACTGTAATTGTATTAGTGGCTCTCTCTTAATCTCAGGGCCTAAACTGTAGTTGACGTGGCCATTGCACCATGGGCAAGGTTGAGCAACAATCCTTTGGCACCATTTTCTGGAAGCAGCCACTCCCACAGGAGTGGAATCGCTGTTCGCCAGTCCTGTTCGTGGAGGGATGGCTATGGCTGATTACATCAGAAGGCTCTGAGATGTTCACGAGATAAGCAGAGTCGTACTCTGTCTATCCTGGTTCCTTCATAGGTTATCAAGTCAGGACAATTAAAGCCATTTCAGCCCTGATCCAAGACAGGAAACCAAACTAGTTCAGAGTACATAGATAATGTTGTCATTCATTGAGGTTCATGAGAGTTAGCAAGGACTGATAATCACATTGTAATGGTGACCATTGGCCTGTCACTCTTGTAGAGCCTTCCAGAGGTGGTGTACTATAATTGGTTGTGCCAGGTAGGGGTTGCGGATATTTTAGTCCAATACATCTGAAGAGTGCCTGGTTAGAGAGAGTCAGTTTCACACTTGTTTCCTCTGTAAGGCCTTTAAACTCTGCTAATGCCTTGTGTTTTTTGCTTTTTGTTTTGTTAGCACAGAGAAGAACTAGTGAAACTGGCAGTGCCATATAACACA